AGGGAAAGATTGAGAAGAGAGACAGAGAGAGAGAGAGAGAGAGAGAGAGAGAGAGAGAGAGAGAGAGAGAGAGAGACACATAGAGACAGAGGCAGGGAGAGAGAAAGAAAAGAAGAAAGACAGAGAGAGATGAGATTTCAAAACGAGTTTAGCACAACAAAAAAATGGGCGTGTGCATGTTCATATGTGTATGTGTGTGTGTGTGTGCATGTATATGCGCAAGTATGTGCGTGCCTGCACGCGTGCGTGTGTTTGTGTAAATGCGCGAGAGCATGTGTTTGTGTATGAATGTGTGTGTGTGTGTGTTCATGTAAGTGTGTGAGAGCATGTGTTTGCATGTGAATGTGTGTGTGTGTGTGTTTATGCATTATGCGTGTGTGTGTGAATGTGTGTGTGTGAGTGTGTGTGCGTGTGTGCGTGTGCGTGTGTGCGTGTGTGTGTGTGTGTGTGTGTGTGTGTGTGCACGCACGCACGCCACATGTATGATTGTGTATTAAAATACATAAAAAGATTAAAGAATCAATTAGACAACTGACCTCCAACATTCTGTCTCAATGGCTGCTGTCCTGGTGCAGATCCTGAGCCCAAAGGTTTGCTCATCATTTCTTCTGTTCTCGACTTGCTAGAGGCACTGTATACAGATAAACCAAGAACTTAGATTTGTTGTTTTATGTGACTGTTTCTCTCTTTCTATTTCTCTTTCAGGGACAGGCGATGAATAAAATAAGCCTGTCAAGCAATGCTTACCCATCTTCTTTGCTTTCTGCAGCAACCTGTTTATCTTATTCATCAAAGATATTTTTCAAAGAAAGTTAGAAAGAATCCACTTGATTATTTTAAAAAGCAGAATTTTAAAGCAGCTGATGGATATGAAATTCAGAAGTTAACGATGAGGAGCAAAAATATCACCGGGAAAGAGAGTAGCAATAACTCAAACTGATAATAAAAGTACATGTAATCCCATTGGTTAATCATTAGTTAAGTGTGTAAACTTGATCCCTGCCTATGGTCAGGGTTCGGCTACAACAGGGATATAATCACGTCAGATCAGGTTGTCCTGTTATAGCAAGGGACCACTACTGTTTGTACAGCCATGAGTAGCCTACCTGTTGCTTGTCAAGCAAAAGCATGAAATTCTTGCAGTTTGCAATCTCTTGCCAGTAACATTTTCTTCTCACTTCATGTTTTTAACTTTCAGGCAAGCATGGTGAGAAAGTGATCTCATGACATTGGTACATGAAATCAGTCATCGCGAAGATTCAATAGAAAGACTCGTTATCATATGTGCCATGAACACACAGCGAGGAAATGTGCCACAGTTGCTGGGTCATTACAGGGGGTCTCATGAAAAGCACCATGACCTTGCTGCAGTCGTCTTTTGTTTTGGCAAGTGTTTTACGGCGCTTGCAACTGCATATGGTCACGCATGAGCGGGCGGGACATATTAAACATTTTCAGTTTGATAGGAGTTTTGAATTTTGCCCGGATGGTGGCCGAAGCCTACTCTTATCCATTTTAGGACCACCAAGGGATCTTTAAAGTGCGTAACTTGCACACAGGACCTTCAAGATTTTTTCACCCTTGTCCGAGAAGGCTAGGAGATCTTACATACCATATGATCAGGGGAGTTGCTGAAAGACAGCACTAGGAAGGAGCCAAGGAGTAGCAGTAAAAAGGCTGTAGAAAGAGTCAAGAACACAGAAGGGGAGGGGGGGCAAGGCTGGGGTGGAGGTGGGGCAAAAAGTAGAGACGAAAGCAGACGTCATAATTTGGTTAGAGAGCAGTCCTCGAAAAGCGAGGTCATGACAGGAGATAATCTTAGAGAAGAAAATTTTCCGCCGCTGTCAGGTTTCGAACACTGGACCTATTGAATGAGAGGTTAACACCGTAACCTCTAGACCATGAGAGCCCCATGGTACAGTATTACATCTCGAGGGTTATAGGGTGCATTTTCCTCAAAGACAATTAATATTGATCTAATAATTATCGGTGGAAGAAGAGGATTAATTCATCCCTCCATCTATCCATCTGCCTATCCTTCAGCAAAGCAACAAGCCAGAGGGATAGGAGTGACTCTTTGACATTTAAAATTAACTAAGTGTATACAGCACCGGTAACCGGGAACAAAGTCACGAAGCATACAGACCCGGTAGAGGAAATCTTTTGTGATTTCAGAAAGTTCCAGCGTCCAGAACCAGTAGAGTGTGTGTGCATGAGAGAGAGAGAGAGAGAGAGAGAGAGAGAGAGAGAG